GGAAACGGTACCAAGCGAAGAACTACGATCTAGTTTAAGAATCTCTGTATTTGTATGTTAAATTATATATCTTTAACTTAATGTATGCGCTAATAAATATTGCGACAAGGAAAATATCTGATTTACGGAACCAATGAGGCTCAAGCGTGACGTTGCCTGTGAAAGAACACAATTAAGTCTTCTGTTTTAAAAAAACGAAATTACTTTCCGAACAACCCAATACATAGACACATAAATTAGAATACATAGGGACGGGATTTATTTTATTCGTTCAGTTTATTAAAATTCATATTAGTGTAGATGTAAGTATATAAAATTGCAAACTCGTAAAAAGGTGATAAAAAATCTTATCGTATCTGAGATTCTAAGTTAATTTGCGCTCATCTCGTCCGAAAGCGATCCCTGTTATGAGTATGCAGTCTAGGCGCTTGTTAACACACGACTCGTGCGATTATCTTAATATAGAGATCGCGGTCAATTTTTAACTACAATATACAATTGTTAGACTAAATAAGTTCTATCATAAAATCCATGCCCCTTGTCCAGACGGTGCACTAAAAACGAACGAACTCTTACCCATTCCCCCACTAATTGCCAATCGGCGTTCAACAATGAAGAAACCATAAACGTCTCGAAGTAGAAGACGAACAAGAAACATTTCATCGTTCGATTTAAATGCACCGTCTTAAGACACGACGGGGCACGTGAATCAATTTTTTTCTCGCACTTGTCGAAACATTATAATACAAGGCAACAATCGAGCGTTGTCACTTCAAATCGTTCTAACAGATCATTAACAATTATTTAAGTTGTATATGTCGATGGATCCGAACTCCTACTAGAAACTATGTTAAAGGCTATATATTCGTTAACATTATTATCGATCACCTCCTCTTCGTGCTATCAGTCGTCCTGACATATGAAAGAAACACTGTACGTAGTCTAACCAAATGTACACACCTGAACATCTCCTATTTATTTACAATCATAGAATTGTTTCTTGTAAATCGAAAGCAATGAGTGTTATATTTATGTAAATCCAAAGCAATGAGTATTTTCTGTCATTTTGTTCTGTCGCTCTTCTTGACTAATCGATATTTATGATATTCTTCATTTATCTACACAAAAGTGTGCTTTAGCCTCACCAATTAGGCTACAATTATAGTTGATATTCAAATTAGTAGAGAAGATAAGATTTCTGATTCCCAAAATCTGAATTTTTAAATTAAATTTCGATGTCACTGAATTTCAGCAACGACGACAAGCTGAATGCGAGCCCAGAGGCTTAATCTCTTAATTAATTAATAATTATCCTTGCAAATCATCTATTGACACCATTTACACAAAAACATGATTTTTATGATCGCAAACAGAGAAGATATTCCGATATGTACATTTAAAGCCAACTCGTATGTGCTAAGGAAATACTATATAATACAATACGTGTTGGTAATATTATCAACCTCTCTATCACTAATCTGGAATGTTATATGCTATTTTGGAATGTTAGTTTTGTACCTTGCCAACATCAGCTACACCAGCTGGCCCCTAATTTCGTTTGTAAATAACTACAAAAATAATCATCTAGTAAGAGTTGAGAGAAACAAATGAGGCCCTAAGGTCAACGATCACGCCTAATATCTATCGATGATGAACAGCATTACCATCGGTAGCCATATCGAGAAACTGCACCGGCTCGCCGATGCCCAACGCAGCCCAGGATAATTAATATTTGGTGTGGAAATTTCTGCAATACAAAATGGTCACGTTTTCAAGTACAAAACTGGTTCAAGTGAAGCGAAGTTCGACGATGCGGCTGGAAAGCATATTCACAGCAAGCGGGATGACAATAACGTACCTCGTAACAATTGTAATAAATAAAACTACGACTACCAAGGGTCCTGTAGATACTGGCGCTACTCCGGCCCCGGAATAAATCGCTTGGCCACAAGCTGGCGGACACACGGGGACAGTAGTTTCTGCGGAAAAAAAATTAACGTGCATGCTGAACTAAACAAAGGAACAAAACTCATCGGGGACCGTGACACATCCTCATGCATCTGTCAAGAAGACACTCAATGCGGCAGAATTACAGGAAGGGAATCTTAGATCTAGTCGAGGACCTAAAATGTTGGGTTGCAGAATTTGGGTCCTGGAAAATTTCAGGATTTCTTACAATATTTCAAGATTCCAGTACACCTCTAATGAATGCAGCAGACATGACAGGAATTATTTAAATCAGAAAAGAAATCTTAAAATGCTAGAGTTTTGGAACAACAAATGCAGCAGACATCAATTATACAGGGTGTCCCAGGTTTAATGTTCAAACTTTATATAATCTGACACTAAATAAGAAAAGCATTAAAACCTGGAACAACTTATATAAATAAGGATTTGAATAAATGAAAAATCATCATACATACCGAATAACTCGACCCTCGTTTCTGCAGTGCCAAGCTTGTTAGCAGCCCTGCATACATATTGCCCATATTGCCTCTTTTCGATTGTGATCACTCGAATCGTAGTGTCGGTGTACTGATCAGCAGTCGCGAAGTGTGATATGCTGTAATGTTGATTATTAGATAATTGAACGTCGTCTTTTAGCCAGCTAATAGCAGGCGGTGGATACGCTTCTACGTGGCACTCTAAATCCATGTCATATTGCAAGGCTTGACCGAGTCTCGGCCTGGGCGCTGTGATCACAGGAGCGAATTCAACCTCGACGTTAATATTACGTCTAGCACCTCTTCCCACCCCGTTTTCAGCCACGCAGTAATAAGTTCCACGATCCTCTTTACGGATAGCTGGGATCTTCAACGTGTTGCCTCTGTAAAAATGTATGATCAGAAATTATTAACATACATACAGGCCGCGTCACAGTCACTGGTGACTGACAGTATAAAATATGATAT